TTTGTGCCCATTGCCCCTTGTCCTGTCACTGGGCACCACTGAAAAGAGCTTGGCCCCATCAGCAGTGTCCCCTGCCGATGGCTCGGAGCCGTCTCCTGTCACTTGCTGTGGACACGGAGCTCCACCAGACGTACTGTGGGCTCGCATATCCCAGCACCAGGGAAACTTCGCCTTCGCCGCACCTTCTGGGCAAGGATCAACCCCAGAGCCAGACTGGGGCGGGACTGAAGGCAAAAGTGGACCCAAAAGGCAGGTTGTCACTTCCAGCGGGCTGGCAGGGCCGAGGGGAGCTCTGCCAACCCCGGGTGGGTGTTCGACGGCCTCGGCAGAGCATCTAAGAGCCAGAAACGGGATCTGACACAACAAAACCCCCAAACTGGCCCCACCTGAGACCACGATTCGTCTCAGAAGAGAGGTCAAGGGGAGCCACGGGCACGAGATCCGGCTACGGGATGTTCCCTGCTCACTTCCACTGAAGCTTAGCACCAAGGTTGTCCCTCCCAGGTATGACAGCTCAGGTCACGGAGCACAGCTGCCCTGCCAGCGACCAGAGCTGCTCCCAAAGGCTCCCGATTCGGAAACGTGACCTCAAACACCCAGGGAGGGGACCTACGTGAGTCAGAGGGAGCTTCTTCACGACCAGCCTGGAGTCCGACTGCAGTGTTTTCGAGCACCGTGATACGGAACAAACAGCAGCGGCCCCGTCCTTCGCAGCCTCGCTCATCAGCTCCACCCGGAGGAAATGCTCCTGAAAAACGAGAAAAAAAGGGAACACCACCACTCAGAGGGAGCTGAGATACCGGAACGGGTCGTTTAATTATTTTTTTAAACCCCCTGGGAAGTGACTTGCAACACGATGGGTTTTTTCAGAAAATAAAACAACGAAAACCAACCCCCAAACCCCTGGTGACAACAAGAATCAGGCAGAGGCCAGCAGTAGCTCATGAGGAAGAAAGAGAAGTAAGAGCTGGCAACCACCGCAGCCGGAGAAAAGGGAACCTCCACGCCTGCACCAAGATAGGAGGTGAGGATCTGTGGAAGACAACACTCAAATGCAAGGGCTGTGGAAAAAACCGCTGCAACCTCGTGTCTTGCTACTGAAATGGTGCAGAGCAGCCGTCAGTTGAGGAGAAAAGGTGACCTCAGCTATTCTGGCCTGCGCCATCACAAGCCAGGGCATAGTCCACGCTCAACATCTGTCTTAGGCTGTGATGTCATCTACCTGTGCTTTAGTAAGGCCTTGGACACTGTTCCTCACACCATCCTCCTGGAGAAACGAGCTGCTCATGGTTTGGATGGGTGCACTCTGCGCTGGGTAAAGAACCAGCTGGATGGCCGAGAGCAGAGAGTGGTGGGGAATAGAGTTAAACCCAGCTGGCGGCCGGTCACCAGTGGTGTCCCCAGGGCTCAGTGTTGGGTCCGGTCTTGTTTAACATCTCTATCAGTGATCTGGATGAGGGGATTGAGTGCTCCCTCAGTCAGCTGGCAGATGACACCAAGCTGGGTGGGAGTGTTGATCTGCTCGAGGGTAGGAAGGCTCTGCAGAGGGATCTGGACAGGCTGGA